CCCACCCCGACGATGTGTATCGGCACTTCCTTGCAAGTGTGCAGGAGGTTAGAAGTATTGACTCATCTTCATTCTCATCCAGCCCAATCTCTCTCTCTCTTTTAGGGTAATAGGAAAATTGGATCCAGCAGCAATAATATCACCTCCATCTAATCATGGTAAGTGTGCTACTGGTAGTCCTCGACTTATGATCGATTACTTAGCGACCATTCAAAGTTATGATGGACGGCCCCTTCCCCTGAAAGGTACTTAGAACCCAGATTCAAAGTTCCGATGGCTGCCCTGCCCCCCTGCAATCACGTGACTGTATTTGGTACACTTGTCAATCCACCTGCATTCATTCATTCATTCATTCATTCATTCACTCACTCTCTCAATTCATTCATTCATTCATTCATTCATTCACTCACTCACTCTCTCACTCAATTCATTCATTCATTCACTCACTCACTCAATTCATTCACTCACTCACTCATTCAATTCATTCCTTCATTCACACTCATTCATTCCATTCACTCACTCACTCACTCACTCACTCACTCAATTCAATTCAATTCAATTCATTCATTCACTCACTCACTCAATTCATTCACTCACTCACTCATTCAATTCATTCCTTCATTCACACTCATTAATTCAATTCACTCATTCATTCACTCAATTCATTCATTCACTCATTCACTCATTCACTCACTCACTTCATTCATTCATTCATTCACTCAATTCAATTCAATTCATTCATTCACTCACTCAATTCATTCACTCACTCACTCATTCAATTCATTCCTTCATTCACACTCATTCATTCAATTCATTCATTCACTCACTCACTCACTCAATTCAATTCATTCATTCATTCATTCATTCAATCAATCATTCACTCACTCATTCACTCATTCAATTCATTCATTCATTCATTCATTCACTCAATTCAATTCAATTCATTCATTCATTCACTCAATTCATTCACCCACTCGCTCATTCAATTCATTCCTTCACTCACTCACTCACTCACTCACTCACTCATTTAATTCATTCGTTCATTCTTTCTGTCATGCTGGGGCTCAGGACCCCGGACAGCACCCCGAGGTTCGGGGCAGTTGGTGAGTATTTTAAGGGAGATTCGGGTTAATGTCAGGGTTCCAAATAGCATCCAATATAAAATCAGAGTTTGAGGCAAGAGAGTCCTCAAAGTTCCCATTTATGAAGAGAGCCATGTGGGCACATCTGGGAATACCTGAGATCTGAAAGCTTCCCGGTTTTCCCCCAGTTGAAAGTTCAAGATCTTGCCCCCACGCCCACAAGTCCATCCCATGGTCCAATCTTCCTCGGCCACGAAGACAGATTCCTTCCATCCAGTTCCGGCCAGGTGCAGAGGCAAAATGACCTTGAGTTTCTAAGAAGAATGTTATTATGGCTACATATCATCCCACTCCATACAATCCTACCTCCCATTTTCCCACAATAGAAAATCCCAGAAGAAAAGATGGCTTGCAGGCATGACACTTTCATTCTTTCACTCATCAATTATTATTATTATTATTATTTGAATTTTTGCATATACATCAATATCAATACATGAAGAGTGTGGCCCCTGGGTATAGTTCATTTTGATACAAACATCAATAATGATGATCGTAATTATTGTTATGTCAATCAAACTTATATATTTCTAGAATTGATATGCATGATTTTTTAAGGCAATTATTCAATATTTCAATATTCCATTTTAATGCCAATGATGCTATAATACCACCTTTCAACCCTCTAACCGCTCCCATCAAATTGTTACGTATATTCTATTCTATAATTCATCAGATTTATGTGCCACCCATCCCATCAAAGACTATTCTGGTCATCTTCCAAGCATTAAAACTAACTCCTCGATGTATGACCACCACTGAGTCAAAATATTTGTTGCCAAGCGAGACCGCTGTTCAGTGAATTTTGCCCCATTTTACGACCTTTCTTGCCAGGGTTGCTAAGCGAATCACTGCAGTGGTTGAATTTAGTAACACGGCAGTTGAGCGAATCTGGAGCCCCCCTACGACACTGCAACGGTCATAAATGTGAATCAGTTGTTCCCAAACGTCTGAATTTTGAGAACGTCACCACGGGGAAGCTGTATTGGTTGTAAGTGTGAAAAAACGGTCCTAAGTCACTTTTTTCAGTGCTGTTGTAACTTTGAGTGGTCGTTAAGTGAATTGTTGTAAGTCGAGGAGTACTTGTACGGTAAAAATAATAAAACGATAAATAATAATGGACTTTGTAGCACCCTGTGGTCTTCCTTTCTTAAGGCCATTCTACATACCGTTACGATTCTCCATGTGGGATAGTGATCCCATGACATTCTTCCCTTCTGTTGTCCAGATGACAAGGACCCCATTTATGATGTGGTGGAGTCTCCAGTGGAAATACCGGAGGATCCGCTCCCGATATCTGTCCCTCTTCCGGTGAGTGTCTTCTCCTTGGTTTCTTCTGAGGTTGAACAGTGAAGGAGGTTGAGGGCTCAGGCATTGGCCCAAAGCAAGATTCTTGAGTTGGTGACCTCATTGGAGTAGAAGGTGGATTTATGTTGAATGGAATAGAAGGTTCCACAGATGTCCCCTTTTCCCCCACTGGAAGAACAGATGACGCCAAAGAGCAACTTCTGGTTTTGAGTTTCACTTTCACTTTTCTAGAGCAGAGGTCCGGGAACTGGGCAACTTTAAGACTTGTGGACTTCAACTCCCAGAATTCCCCAGCCAGCATGAATTCTGGGAGTTGAAGTCCACAAGTCTTAAAGTTGCCAAGGTTGAGAAACTAGGCATGGATGGGTTTAGAATTTACTCCTGATTTCCCACTCTTTCTTGGTGGGAGTAGGATTCCTTCCTTCCTTCCTTCCTTCCTTCCTTCCTTCCTTCCTTCCTTCCTTCCTTCCTTCCTTCCTTCCTTC